GAGAACCTCCAACTCAAACCAGACTCCCTTTTAAGTTTTATTTATCACCGCAATCTCACACCTCTAGATAATCGCCGATCTAAACGACGCGATCTCCAGTCAGAAAATCGCAACTATTAAAACCTGCAATTTTTTGCATCATTATAGAAGGGTGTACGGATCCTCGGTGGTGCAATAACGCGTACGGATGCAAAGGAAGGGGAGGGGGGGGGGGACTCGTTTCGAGGCTACTTAAACGCGCGTGTGCGTTTACGTGCGCAGTTTAGTGGGCCGCACTGTAGTTAGTAGGCTTAGAGAGGGGAACAAGAGTTCCGCCGCGGCTGTTTCGCGGGGTTGGGACTGGCTGGCACCAGATTTATCTCTCTACCCCATCGTTTCGGGGCTGCGTTGTTATGGGGCGCGCCAGAACACCGGAACGCCAGAATGCCAGTGCAACGGCCCGGTTAGGGGAGGCTCGAATACCAACCCAGCTTCCAGCACGAATCGTTCCGATGCTCCGCTAAACGAGTTCTCGGAGACCTTCCCGTTTATTGCAATTATTATCATTGTTAAAACGTATTTGATTCAAGCTCGAAAATGATTAGACAGAGAATTATAAACAGAGAAGAATTGTACTAATATTGTACTGCTCTACAGTCAGTCGGTATATCTATTCGAGAAATTTGTCTAAATTAAATGTCAAGTTTGATGTTTCCAAATACATTTTTATTATAAATGTATACATGTGTAAAGCCTGTTCGTGTGCATATTCATAATGGAACATTTATTGGAAACATTGAAACGTCAAATCTATCTGTTAATTTAGGCGAACTACTTCAATAGACACAGAGGGTACGAATATAATACTTACGGGACTGGCTGTACGTGTATGTAGTAATTTCTTTATAATAATCGAGACGACTACAACCAACAATTCCTCGATGCTTGGCAGAAAGGGTCCAAGTGAAAATTACGGCGAGAGCAGCAATACAAAATTGCCTCGAAGTAGCTTAAAGCGAAATTCTTATGCATAATGTAAGAGTGTTATTCACCCTCGCGACGCACGGACCATTCTTCCAACTATCTCCAATTTTCTCCCCGTTTCGCTTTACATGGGTCAGGGCGTATGGTCCCTCTCGTTTAGAAAATTGTCCTCGCTGTCACCCACGCGAGAAATTAGAAATTAAAGACAAGGTTAACGGCAAAAACGCGTGCCGCGGCCGAAGGAAGTTGTTTCTAGCCTGTTTATGCATTCAATGGCACCCACGCACGTTCCACGCATGCACTCCCCCTCCCAACGTTTCACTTAAGGCTGTCGATATTACCTGTAGATGGTTTTTGTCGGGGCACGAAAGGGGATCGAAACGGGAACGAGGAAGTTTCGCTGGTTTCGCACAGGAGGGGTTGGACTGGCTGGCGCCAGGTTTATCTCTCGGCCTCATCGTCTCGGCCTACGTTGTTACGGGGTGTGCCCGAGTGACAGAGTGGTGGGGACTTCAAGTACCAGGGGAGCAAAGTCGACAGACACTGGGGGAGGACGCGAGAGAGATGAGAGAGCAGGAGAAGGAACACGAAAATGGCTCGAAATCAACAGGATCTGCGTTTTATATGAATTTTGTCGTTTCTTCGACCCCCTGGCTCGTTCAAAATAAACAGTTACCACGTGTGCACCCCATACCAGGTTTCCTGACCTTCTGGACGTATTTTGGTACATTTGTTTAACGGGTATTTCTTGAATTAAAATTTGAGCACGATATCCATTAACACTCCAGTCAAAGAAACGCAAACGAAGCTTGCAATGATCCCTGTTTGAAGCATCCCTAACGCGAATTTATTCGAAAGGAAAGTCCACTGCTGAGATACGAATCTCGATGCTACAAACGAAACGTCAGGGGGTGAAAAAGAAACGAGACGCGAGATGAATAAAAAGTTAATAAAAGGGAAACGGCCGCGTCAAGAGGATACGCGAAAGATAGAGGAAAAGGAAAAGGGGTGAAGCTCGCAGGGTAACGTCCGACAGAGAGCAGCCTGTTCCTCTGAACCCCTCAGCTGCTCCCGTGTAAGAGCATTGTGTCAGGACGTAACAACTCGCGATAGTGCGACGCGGCTTCCCATGGGACACCATTATCCTGATTTAGCGCCGCGGCTACGACTCTATTTCCTACGCGATTCCCGGCGAAACGGTTTCCTTTGTCCGGCTTAGCTTTATTTCAGAGAAAGAGGGTGGCGCCGGGGCCGGCCGATTGACGCGTTCGAATGTCGTGCATCCCCCGTGCTCTCGTTACGTTCCGTTCCAATGCGATTACGTGACGGGAAGTCGAGGCATTGTCGTCTGTGAACAGACACCGTGCGCGTTTTCGATGCACCTCTTAACAAGGACCTCCGGCGCTTGGCCGGTCTCGTCGCGCATCATCGCCCAAAATCGCGAAGGGAAGTCAGAGATTCGACAAGGACATGAAGAATCAGATGTGAAGGTGTCCTTTAGTTCTCACGTGCAAGTCTTTTAGACTTTTAGAGTGGTTAACATCGATTAGATTCTTATAGAGCTTACTGGCGACGCATGGAGTCGTCTTCCCGGCCTCGAGCGCTCGTTTTACGCGGGAAACTTGGTCCCAGAAGGTACATTCGCGTAACATGCAGCGAAATAAAATCGCGGCGGATCAATAAACGCGGTTCTCCGAACGAATCGGTCGAAAACCAGCGATTCCCCATCGGCCGGAAACCAAAACGAAAATACACGCCAACGGTTCCGCGTGGACGCTTGTGTTTGTCAAAGGATATAAAAGCTAAACATTAATCGTCGGGAGGGTGGGCTCCTCGGCTTGGTATCGATAAATATTGCGACCACGGGAAATTAATACGTGGTAGTCGGCAGTATTTCGAGCGTGTATTTACGTTGAGAGAGTTCGGAGTAGGATAGAGATAGACGGGGTGAGGGAGATGAGTGTATGCCCGAGGGTAGGATCGAGAGATCCAGTCCAAAAACAGAAGCCGACGACGTTATTGCGGATTTTTTCCGATACACAGCGTTATAAGGCATCGAATATAAATTTCTGTCTAAAAATTTCGAGACAAAAACGTTTCTTCGAAGGAATTTTTGGAATTCACCAAAGGAAAAAAAATAGGGGTAAGTTGTCTAATCCCGGTTCGCGTATCGATAAGATGACCCGAGTTTTGAGTATTACAGGAGGAAATATCGCAGGCAGAGGAGTTCGAATCGAGTATTTACGCCGAGAGAGCTCGCTGACACGAGGAAAGATAGAGACAGGGAGGGCGAGAGTACGCTGGGCAGATTACGGAGTGCAGTGGATGTGGATTACGGGGGGCTGCTCGTTAAATAGCCTGCAACCGTAACCAGAGCCTCGACCACGAATAAAGACGCGACATTACCGTTCAGCTCCTTATTATCCCCCATTCGGCGTACCCACACGTACACGCGTCGGGAACCCCGGGGCTTGCACCGGTTATTATTAGGGATTCGAGGTATTAAGCGTACTTTGGGGTATCGATCTTCTTATTCGGCCACCCTGCGTCATACTTAAATACAATCTTTCGGGAGCTGTGTAATCCTCTTAGCGTGGTATTCCTGGGCCTGCCACTATGCGGATGCTGATAGCGCGTGCCATTGTTTCTTATCCGAACTGATTACGCCTGTGTGTACACGACCGGAAACGAAGGGTGGGCACAGAACCTGGAAACGTCGGTACACGCCGTAACGAGATATTTTGGGAGCCGCGTAATCCGCTTAACGAAATATTCGCCATTAGGCTCCGGGGGCGCTGCTCGGAGTCTCGCTGGATTTTTAAGTTGTGTTAGAGATGATTTAACGAACCGATCGAGCGCGATGATTTAGGGCGCGAGTCTATAGGGTCGTGGGAAGCTGAGAGGAGCAAAAATGTTTTTGGTATGTACTCTGAAAGTTTGAAAATTTCACTTTTACACGTTATCATTTCACGGAGTACGTTTTGTACAACTGCGAGCGATCCTGTTATTATTCCTCGACGACTTTCAACGATGTACAGAAAATGATTGGATGTCTCCAAGTTCAAAGTGACTTTTCACGAAGGAGGGACGCGGCTAACGCGAGCGGGCCTTGATTAGCAATTAATCCGCGGCTCTCCCATCGATCGATCGATCGATTAACGAAACCGATTTAATCAGCGCCTCGGACACGACTGACCAGTCCTATTAATTAGCGGAATAATCGGATCACAGGGAATTACGTGTTAACCGTCCCCCCTCCGCGCCTCCGTGGCGTGTATTACTTTCGGTAATAGGCTCCATTACCGTCTGTGGAACTGATCCGTTACTAATGTCAGCAAGTCCGGTCCGACTGTCGTCCTAACAACGGGAACACCAGATCCCGTGGCCCGACATCCAGGGGAATTAATTCACTGATAAGTCGCGTGTGACGCGATCCAATTAATTCCCAGCGCTCGTATCGGAGCGTTGAATTAATTATCGTACGATGCAACCTCTTTCCGTTTGCCCCAAGAATTATTACCGTGGCGATAGCTTCGTTTCGTAAGGTATAGCGAACCGATAAACCGAAGGTCGATCGTTACGCAGGCCGCTTTCAAATCGATGCGCGGAAACTTCGCTACCGATATTTTCATCTCTGTTATTATGTTGAACCGGTAGATTAAATTTAATTAAACAACAAGCTAAGATAAGTTAAAACGTTCGCTAAGTTTGCTAAGTTTAAATTAAACCTTCACCGAATTCAATCGCGACTACATCCGCGTTGGACTCCAATTTTGATTCGAAACAACAAATAACAATGCACAGTGTTTTTAACGTAGCGAACATTCGTAACAGCCATTTAAGAGCACCCTGCGCGAGTCAGTCGCCCGATGAATGGGGCGCCCGTGGCTTTGATTAAAGTCGAGTTCCCTGCCGACTCTCGGCGACTCTTTCGACGAGCAAACTTTCCAGGCGATGAGTTCAAAGGTACCCAAGGCTTCCCGAGCCCCGAACAGGATTTCATAGGAATGGAGCAGGCTCCGTTGAAGGTAACTTACCGTAGAACCAACACTGTTTCTCGCCGAAACGAGGCCGGAGAAATGTGTACTGAGGTTGAGGCGGAAGATGATCCAGAAGGGCGGCCAGCCCGGCGACTAGGAGGGGACCACCCCAAGCGTAGCAGCCGTACACTCGCAGTCTGAGGGTCTCTTGGCCTTTCTCCAAGCTGGCTGGTCTCAGGTCCCTGCAACGGAAAAAGGAAAAAAAGCTCGGTCAGCGGGGGAGGCGCGGAAACCACGAAACACGAGATCGTTCTGTGCACTTAAACGTTGCCCTGGAACGCGAACAATAAAACACTCGCGCGATACCATGGTTGAGTTTCTCCATCCGTATGGAGAGTTCCATTAGAACTGGCGGCGAATAAAAGTTCCAGGAAGTCGTTCACCCCGAAAATTGATAGTCCCGCGTTTGCGTAATCAGTGATGGCACCGAACGTTCTCGTGCGTCGACATCCTTAGACGTAAATCAACCGAGGGACTCGGAGTGCATGCAGAGAGATATCCGCACTCGCAGATTGGCCGCTTCTGAAATCTGGTGATTTAGGTTCGAAATACTTCGATCAAAGAGGGTGAGAAACTATCGACTCCGTTTACCAAAAGGGTGACGGCGAAACGATTACTTTAGATGCAATTAACGCTATCGGACATGGGGCTGACTTTTTTTAAAAGACCCCCCACAGAGAAACGCGCGAGAGTTTACCCGAAAGTTTCGCGGCCATTAGCATCCCCGAGCAGCGACAACCGTGCTCCCAATGTTATTATGTAACTCGCAGAGGCAGCTCGTGTTTCAACTTCGAGGCATTGCAAACGACACTTCCGTTGTTCTATTTTCGCTCGCCTAGGTGGTTCCTGAGCGACAATCGTGCGATATTACTGCTGCCGCAATGTTCTGCGCTCGTTTAAAAGCGTCGGAACACCTAGGGGTTTCAATCCTAGAGGGCTAGGTACTTTAAAGGTGGAGTTATACGATATTAGTTTGGGCACTGAAATAAACTAGAAATAGCCTTATCGAAACTAGTATAGCCAAATAACGAACTTATTTGCAATTGGGAAAAGTGCATCGGTACTCCCCTACCAGCATAGGGTCGAATAAACGTTGGCACAGATTATATACGTGCGTCCAAATACCCGCGTGGATGCAAATCGCATCTACGTACCCAAACGAAGCGCAATAAGAGGCAGCGCCGAGTTGGCTGCGTTCCAGTTAAAAATGAAACTCCAGAAGATGACGGGGACGTAATAAAAAGGATGTCGCGACCGGTAGCTGGATCAGACATCAGAACCGGGGGAATGACAGCCATTTGCGTGTCTACGAGTTCGTGGCTCCTGCACGCCCTGAACATGGCCGGCGAATCATGCCACGACTAACGATCTAATTAACCGCGACGAGCAATAACGCGCGAAATGGAAGACACCTCGCGCGTGTTAATTGCCGCGAAAACGTCACTCGGGGACATTAACATTCAAATCTTCGTGGTTAAAAGACGGCTCGATTTACCGGAGAGAGCACAGTACAAGTTCTGAGGTTATTTCAGGACATTTAATAAATTTAGATAACTCTATGTTACCGAAAAGATTCTGTTACGATGAATATAGATTGCATTTACAGAAGATCCACGCAAACTTCAACGTACTACAGGGTCGTGATACCGTTGTTCACGATTTAGTTAAATAATTGAAACAAAAATTTAATTCTTCTTTCCACCCTGAACAGCGAGATTGTATTTTTTTTTTTTTTATCGCCGCTAAAGGACAATGAGAATCGAATTGCATTTAATTGCACCGGACGGGACGGTTTCGGGGGTTGTTAAAACGAGCCACGGAGACTCGGGCGAAGGGAGGACGCAACGTTGCCCACAGATAATAGGGTCACTCACGATTGTGTCGTCGGCGAATTTATCGGCGCGGATTATTAACGAGACTTCGAATTCGTTAAATTTCGACCCTACTCCGCGTCCCGACCGATGACCGCCGGAATCGTAAAGCTTCGTCATTGTCTGGCTAGTTTAACGTCGCTATAACAACTGCACCGTGAAAGGGGGGCTTTACTGCGGAGGGTTGTTGCTCGTAAATCGCACCCTATCGGGAGTCGACGTCGCTGCGGATATGGCAAACGTCGACTACCGACGCAACTATTGTCAAAACGTGAAAATTAACGGAAAACTGACGTCTGTGGCGCCAGCCGACCTCCTTCGACGATGTCACTCGCGACGGAATGCTGTAAACTGGGATCCAACTTTTTCATTTATTTTTTATTGGACACAGGGGAAGACTTGCAAGACGACTTCTGCGAGGAGCACTCTCGCTCCAGAAATAAATTCTTAAGAGGTAGACGATTTTAATCAATCGTTATCTGTGTTACTTTATTACCTCGCTCAATGGCAAGGCGAAATATACGTGCGCTCGTGCCCCCTCCCTGGTCCCCGATTGCCGCCGATGGTAGCGCGTTCAACGATTAAGACGGGAGCAACATAATTGCGCGAGGTCGTTAATAGAACGTAATCTCGGTCGCGACTCTGCCGCGATCATAAACGTAACTCTGAAACGCGCTAGTCGAGAAACAAGCATGTCAACGCGACATTAAAGGGGGTGGCACAGCGCGCCAGTGGCGTGTTCTTTCTCTAATTACTTCCACGACTATTCCCCTAATCACCGACTCAATTACGAGCAGCTTCTCTCGTCAAACGTTCCGCGGCGATTGCGCCTGTTTGTATTTATTCTTCTACAATATTAATTTCCTAAATCACGCGATGAAAAAGATTGAAACGATGACGTTCTTTAAAGAAACTAATATATCCGCATACTAACATTCATGTACCAAAAGGAACCTAAACACTACCCGTGTTAAATAAATTAGCCATGATTGGAGCGTGCGAGTTCTGGCTCGGATCTAACGAGTAAGATATAGTATACCTCCACTTTTGAACGTTTTCCCACTTGGGTAGTTTTTTTTTTGTGGAAAAGAACGGAGGCGATGGGGCTGGGAGATATTAATTCCTGGCGACACGGTTCATTTCCGGGGCCGCTAATTATCCGTCACCGCGGTCGACGCGCGCGATTAGGCGGTCCTCGGTCGGGCAGAGGAAAGTTTCCCTCGATGGGGTGGAAGGAGGACGCGGGAGGATTCGGGGCTCGCGTCTCGATGTCGGAACGGCGCCACGATAATTTTCCACCCTCCCGTTTCTCGTTGGAAATGGAGCCAGAGAGTGCCGCTGCCAGGGATCAGAGGAAAACGTTGTAAATAACTACTTTGGACAATGCGTGCTTCTATGATTTAAATAATGCACTGCGATCGCGTCGACCATGTTGTACTTGAACAGACAACCTGCTCCACAAAAGAATTTATAATTTAAAATGAAATTTGGTTCCTTGCTTGGGGTAGTGGCACGGCTTTTATAAAAATAATTTAATCTATCCACTTGCATTACGATATCTTAGTTAGTCGCACTTTTGTTATGTGTTTGCAATTCAAAATTATAATTTCCATTTCACAGGGCACCGGTAAACTTGTTCGAAAAAATTTGGATATAACGTCCTCGTCTTGACTATGCCTGTAAATATCGCGGAGGAAATTAGGGAGCCGTTGCACTCCGGGCAGGGGTAACATTACTTGGTGCTTCTTCGGTGCGTCGTGTATCGCTAGTATTTTTTATGACCCTGTTTCTCATGCGTTAAGGGGCCTGGAGGGGGTGGTCGTATTAGTGTCCCCGTGCAGGCAATTTGCGAACGACGACGTCTTCCATGACAAAGGGGATTATGCGCGCTGTTCCTTCCAGAGCTCTTGGAGAGTATAACCCATTGTCGGAGTACGGAAGAGATAAAGGTTATTTTTGCAATAATGGATTTCCCAGGGCAGGGTTTTCCATTTGGCGACTCCTCCCCCGCTCGATGAAGTATACCTATTCCATTATCATGGAGCGCGCACACGACGAGGAAGAAAGGCAGAGTCGACGCTTAATCCTGACAAAGAGCTCTTTGCAATAGCTTCTTTTAATTGTGTCCTGTTACTCGACGCGTATTTATCCTGCGTATTTGCGAAACCGTGGGAGGGGCGTGTGCAAAGGCGATGAACCGTCAACCCTTTCCGGGCGTCCACCCTTTCTTAGGTGGGTGGAAATGCATCGACGTTTCGAGTTGCTGTAAATCCTCTCAAAGTGTCGCGAATTTACTCTTTCCTAACGTCACAAAGTGAAAATCAGATCATACATCTTCCTCTCACGGTGTCACAGCTCGATCCTCGAGTCTCGAACAACTCGGATTATTCCAAGCATCGTCTTCATAGTTCAAACGCGCAACGACCGCAGAAATAAACGTTTTTCGACGTCAAAATCTCGTGGAACTTAATCTCCCTCGTCGAAGAGAAAAAAATTCGCAAATTAGAGACCAGCATTTTCTGTCTGTCGTTGCTGTATCTCTCAAGCGCACGCGGCAGACGGAACGTCGGTGACTGTCTCGTAGGCAGAAGGTAAGAGCCCTATATTTATCTCCCCGATATGGTAATTATACGGACGGCAATTAGCGGCGGTGGCAGTTAGAGGTACGTTCTAGCCGACGGTATCGCGCTACGGCTCGCAGAGAATACGGAACGGGAAGGATAGGTCATTACGGGGGAGCAAGATGGACAGAGAAGATATTATTTATCTCGTCAGTGGTTCGCGTAAACGTAAAATAACCGGTTCGCAATAAAATGTCGCGTTGCGGCTTTATTCGATCGCAGGGAGAGAGCTTTTGATAATACGGGAAATCGATCGTCCTGCAGTTTTTAATAAGCCGGGTGTAAAGTTCGCAACACTCTAAAAGTCTAAAATTTCTGATATCTTTGTTTCCAAATTTTTTTCGAACTTTACGTACGACGTTTCGCGATATATCAGACGTTGTTTCGCGTTGCTGGCAACGAAAACTAATTACCAGGGCTTGGCCGAAGGTACAAGTAGGAACGAGGGGGTCGAAAAGGAAGTATTAAAAATGTATCCGTTAATACACACCCAGCGATCTCCGACAGTCGCGAAATTACGGTGCATAAATTTACCTCCGTAAAGATCGAAATAATTATCCGTCGACGGCGAGTAACTAATCGCGCGGTGACATGAAATATAAATTACAAGCAGGAAATTAAGATCTACTGTCGCGGACGTATTAATTTTATCTCGTCGCGGTGCTCCGGTAACCGGCTAGCCGTAGCCGA